CAGCCACCGGATAGTACCCAGGCGCCTCGGCGCTACCATTCCTCCGCCTACTTCGACGTGCTGGAGACTGGGTACGACTTTATTCTTGGCACTCCTTGGTCTCACCGGTTCCGTAGCACAGAGGCCGAATGGGCGTTTGAGACACTCATTCTCAAAACGAAGTGCGGTAAAACCCATCGAGTCCCCTTCATTGGAACCACGGGCGACACCCCTCCAAACCTACCTCCCCAGGACCCTTGTCCTTCTGGGTCCCACCCAGACATCTCCTTCACTTCTCCCCGTCAGTTTGCTCACTTCATCCGACAGGAGGACGTCACGCTCTACTCAGTGAACGTCATGGATCTTCTTCGCTACGATCCACTCTGTCCCGAGGTTGAGCTCATCTCACTGGAGCCCGATCCCCCTGACCCTTCCTCCATCTTCGCGGCTCCCATCTCTACATCCACCCCGCAGCCTGCGGATACCCCCTAGACATCCCAGGTTCCTACGCCGTCCACTGCTGAGTCCACCCATACGTCTCGTGCCGACGCAGACGTTGAGGAACTCATGCGGTTCACGGCTGACTTAGAGCCCGTCATTCGCGACCTGCTTCGAGAGTACCGCGACGTCTTCCCCCCGTATTTCTCATACAGCGGGATTCCCCCGATGCGCAGTGTCAAGCATTCCATCCAGCTCGTGCCTGACTATCGTGTTCACCATCAGGCACCATACCGACTCTCGATTCCAGAGGGGACAGAACTCAAGCGTCAGCTTGAGAAGCTCCTTCGACTTGGTTTCATTAAACCTAGTAACTCCCCTTGGGGTGCACTTGTCCTCTTTGCTCGCAAAGCGGACGGAACTCTCTGCCTCTGCATCGACTACCGCGGCCTTAACCGTTACACGCTTAAGAACAACTATCCCATGCCCCGTGCGGATGAGTTAATTGCCCGTTTGGCAGGCAACCGCTTCTTCACGAAGATCGATCTTCGTAGTGGTTACCACCAAATCCGCCTTGCCGCAGAGGACCAGCCGAAGACCGCCTTTCGGTCGCGCTTCGGCCACTACGAGTTCACGGTGATGCCATTCGGCCTCACCAATGCACCCGCCACCTTCCAGACGGCGATGAACGACATCTTCAGGGACATCCTTGAAGAATACGTTCTCGTATACCTGGACGACATCCTGGTCTACAGTCGTACCTTAGAAGACCATATCAGACACCTCCTCGATGTCCTACAACGCTTACGCAAGCATGGCTTCTATGCCAAGCTCAGTAAGTGCCGCTTTGCCCAGCGCAAAGTGGACTTCCTAGGACACCATG